AAAACTGCATTCCTTTAGTTTTTCAGGTACTTGAGTTATCAATTTACACGAAAAAAAATTTGGAGGGCCCTTATGTGAGTATCACGCTTACCCGGGGGCTGGGTTTGAGCCCACTAATAGCCGCTTGTGCGGGGAACATTCCCCCAAGATTTCAGCCTCCTAGCTTCTCAGGTCCCCGAGTTATGAATTCTCGACCGGTTTTCCCGAGTCTGACTGTGAATGAATTTCCTTAAAAATTCCTCTTTCTTTCAAGGGTGTTTTCCATTCAGGACCAATCTACGCAGACAGATCGAAAAATTAATGTTTTGCTTATCGTATCATTCTCATGATGAATTTTATTAGCCAAGTATGACTATTCGCGAGGAAGTCTTGCCGTTAGCAAACATGCGCTTTAAGTCACTTCGAAACTGAACAAACGCGACATTGCTATTCAATCACTGCTGCTGAGAAAATCCACGCTCTGTAAGAGAATGACTTCTGACTGCCAGTTCTGCTTTTGAGCGACCCAGTAGGATACGTTTTTGCTTCACCATGCAAGCCATATTAACACATTTACTGTAATCAATACTGCTTGACTGGAGCGCTGAAAAAATGCACTTTACAAATCAAAATACCACATGTAATATGTACATGAGAAAACTGAGCTCTTTCCCAAATACTGCACAAAATGAAGGTATTCTTTTCAGCATGCAGTAACAACTCGCTGGTGATGTTCTAGGGGAGTAATTACTAGTATGCTTCACCCTCCAGACCTTGCTCAACATTAAAAGGAAACGGCAAAATGAGCACAGATTGGTTCTTCAGGTCGCTGCTTCTATTACATGTTCAGTTCTAAATAAAAATGCAAAAGACATTTTCTGCAAAAAAAAAAATTTCTTTAAAAATTCCTGTTTCTTCCAATGGTATTTTCCATTCAGGACCAATCTACGTAGACAGACCGAACAATTAATGTTTTGAAATTTTCTGCAAAAAAAAAAAATTTCTTTAAAAATTCCTGTTTCTTCCAAGGGTATTTTCCATTCAGGAACAATCTACGTAGACAGACCGAAAAATTAATGTTTCGACATTTTCTGCAAAAAAAAAAAAAAATTCTTTAAAAATTCCTCTTTCTTCCAAGGGTGTTTCCCATTCAGGACCGATCTAAACAGACAGACCGAACAATTAATGTTTTGCTTATCGTATCATTCTCATGATAAATTTTATTAGCCATGTATGACTATTCGCGAGCAAGTCTTGCCGTTAGCAAACATGCGCTTTAAGTCACCTCGAAACTGAACAAAACGCGACACTGCTATTCAATCATTGCTGCTGAGAAAATCCACGTAAAAGACATTTTACTTTTTTTTTTAATGTAAAAGAAATTTTTTACTTCAGAGCAAGGCGGCACAGTATGTAAAGAAATGCAATCGCTGCTTACCTAGACATTTGCGACATTTTTCATTGAGCTCCGCAAGAAGACGACTTTCCCGTTGATAATTACATACAGCCAGCAGAAGTGCCAATGGATTACTGTAGCATTCATAACACCATAGTTGCACGCCCAGCGCCCGACATCTGAAAATGAACAGCGCATCCTGAGCTACAAATTTGTGCGTGTTATCGATAGCAATCTATCTGTAATACGCCCTGGAGCAACTGTTCTCCTTTCAGACGAATTAGTTATGAAACATGTGTAAAATATGTAATTCTAATTATAAAGTTATAATTACATTTTTTTTCCACTTTTTTGGCCTATGACTCAGGAATGCTGTGTGTTTACAGTTTTCGTCCATTCTGGCCTTCCT